AAATGGAGAAAGGCACCACAATTCAATCAACTTGATGCATTGTGTAGAGTAATAACTAATACTCTATCACTCCCACTCACAATTCTATCTGCCTTGGAAAGGTTTTACTCACGTAGCCAATTGCGTTCTTTTGACGACTTGGTGGTTCATTTCATAGGTGCCGGTAAATATGAGGTATCGGCACTTATGTCCTTCGAAGAAATTATGCATATACTCCCAAACATAAAAACACTACAACTCATATTGATTGGAATAGAATTATCATCAAAAATTATAGGTGTTTCTCTACAATGTTGTCCACGTTGTACTAAGGCTAATAGAAAACGAATTTATTCATTACATCCAGTATCATATGATGAATATTCTGTTTCTGATGATTTCATCACTCCACAATTTGTCGTTGGTTTCAATATTGATCTATATGAAGAATCTTGGAAATCATCCGTTGAATTTTTAATAGAGAAAGAAATACCTTGCACATTTACTTCTTATTCTAAAGATGAAGCAAATCAAAATGTTAAAATATTAAAGGATTTGAGTGCAAAGATTATTGTAGGAGCTAAAGAAATGAGTTACTTGTTGTTACGAAGAACTGTTGTAAGACATTTGGTTGGTTTAAAGTTAGATAAGACAGGTTTACTAGTATAAGAATTATCTTTTGCAATCCAAATTCCAAATCTGTTTAGATATTAAGAGAAAAAAGAGTCATGATATATAGTATCAGGTAGATTTTTTGTAGAAGTGGGTATTTTGCTAATAAAAATTTTAGTAAAATTTTACAAGCCCAAAATAGGGTGTTGGGATAAGGTAGGTGTTGTATGGATATGTATTATATGGGGTAAGAAAAAGGAGGACCTTTTTATAGTTATACAAAGTCACATAACCAAAGTGCAAATTCTATAGTTTTGTATTACACAAGGTCATGTAATAGTTATGTGTTACATGAAACTAAAAAAGGGTTTTTATTGTATAAATAAGAAAGCCAAAAAAGGCAAATTAAAATTGTGCAATTTAAATTAAAAATTAGGTAATTTTAGTGTAATAAAAGAAGCACCACTAGTTTTAGAGTATTGTAGAGCATGGGTAGTACAATTGGGGCAGTGTAGATTGTACAAAAAATGAATCTATGTGTTGGTGAAGGAAAAATCCCAGAATAGAGAGGATATAAACAGCTAAAGGGAGTTGAAGTTATTTTTAGCTATAACTTCGTCAATATTAGTACTACAGAGGTCTATTATAGCTTGTTTTAAAGAGAAGTATGTGTAGAATAACTTGTTCTTAATTTTGAGCAGGGTCAGAACTCTAGTTTAGGCATAAATAGTGAAAAAGATTATTTGGCCTAAAAGGCCATAACTTTAAAAATGTAGAATCGTTTCTTTTAAAGTTTTAATGTTATATGTAATTTTAAGTGAGAAGCAAGTTTAATTAGAGCAAAAGATTAGGTTATTTTACTAAAATATTGTGAGAATGGACTTTTTTGTTGAACAAGTTTTTGAAAAATTTTTGTACTAAAGATCTACAGGAAAAGTTTTCACACATAACTCAAGTAGAGCAAATTATATAGATGTGGCTTTTTTGAAAAACTAGTACTATTTGAAGAGTTCCAAATACATTTTGCTTAAATTCATTAAGTATAATTTGGAGTATATGAAGCCCACATCCAATATGTATTGAGGTTAAATCAGATTTTTTTTGAAATTAAACTATAGCATCTTTTCTTTCTCCAAACATATAAACCATGTTGTCAGTTATCTATAAAATACACTTTGCAATAACTAATCTATCATGTTCAATATATTTAATAATAGTATCTGACACAGTATTTGCATTATATTATAAAATATTTTAAAGATAAGTTATAATAGCAATTGGAGCCTAACAACTTTGATTCCAGAACTGATAGCATATAATAAAATTTTTATTTTACCTCATGTTGATTTATTGACCATAATTCTATATGCTAAAGCATTAGCAAGTTGATTAATTTAAGTATCTATATAAATTTTAACATATCTTTATGCCAAATATTTAATGTTGTTGTTGCTAATCAATTTTATAGTGGCTTTCCTGTTAAAAATTCATAAATCAGCTGTATACACTCTACTGTTAAATTCATCAAAATTTGACTAACTTATAAAATACTAGTTGCTAACCAAATTATATTAGATATATATTTGCATTTATTTTCTTGAAAAATAGATTTAATTTTTTTTTGAAAAACTTGATCAGGAATTTTACAAAATTGACTAAAAAGTGAACTAATTGTTAATATATAATTTGATTTTTGATTGCGAAGTTGCATAATTTGGGCTCCAAATGATTACATTTTTT